TAACAGACTCGATGCCTCTATAAGGAAATTCTGGTGGGGTGTGCCAACCGAGAAAAACAGATATTTTACACCTAAATGTTGGGATTCTCTGTGTAGAAACAAGAAGAGTGGAGGAATGGGTTTTCGGCAGAATAGGGACTTCAACAATGCTTTGCTTTTGAAGCTCGGTTGGGAAATGATCCAAGATAGAGGCAAGTTATGGGTTCGAGTACTTGAAGGGAAATATCTGCAAACCTCAAATTTCTTGAATCACAAGGTCAAGGCATTAGCCTCTCCTCTGTGGAAGGCAATAATAGATACCAGAGAAATACTTAATCTGGGAACTCTATATCAAATAGGGGATGGAAAGTCGATCGAGGTCGGAAATCACCCCTGGATTCCTAATGTCTCAACTCATATGCCTTCTTTTATTGATCCAGACCCTGCTTTGAAGCACAGAAAGATAGAAAGCTTCTTTATCCCAGGGACAAAAACTTGGGATGTATTAAGTCTAAATCAGACATTTTGCCCAACTTCAGTACAAGCCATCCTTCAGATCCATGTGCCAAACTCCATTGGGGTAGACAAACTGATTTGTCATCCAGCTATCAATGGAGTGTTTTCTGTTAAATCTGCTTACAAACTCATAAAGTTGCAAAACGAAAATGGTAACAATAGTGGGATTTGGAACAAAATCTGGAAAGCTAGAGCTCATGAGCGACACAAAATGATGTTGTGGAGGATAGTGTCTAACGTTTTACCTTGTCGAGCTAACTTGTTTCAATTGATCCATATCCCAGACCCCTCTTGCCCGTTGTGTGGAGCTTCGGAGGAAAATTCAGTACATTTGTTCACAAGATGTCCTCTAGCCCAAATTTTGTGGAGACGAGAGCCCATGGGGTATTATCTCGTGCGCTTGGAACTTCGGGTCTCCGGAAGAGATGGTGAATCACTTTCTTGATCCGGGAAAAATAGCACGGACAACGGGAGTGGATTGCAAGCTCTTCACCCTTTATGCAGCAATTCTTTGCACTATAATGTGGTGTTACAGGAATGCAAAGCTACATGATCAGACTATTCCAGTGCCTTCCCACGCGATTCAGATGATCGTACAAGATTTCTTGGAATATTCAAATATGTTCAAGAGGGAGGACAAAGTTAGGTTAAGCGAGAAACCGGATTTTATTGGGGTAAGGTCAAACTCTTGGATTCCTCCATCAAACCAAGAGTTGAAATTTAATGTAGATGGTGCGTGGAAAGATAACAGAGGTGCCATAGGTATTATTGCACGATCGTATAGAGGCTCAGCTGTCCAAGCGTGGACAAGACGAGGAAGATGGAACTCGCCAGTGGAAGTGGAAGCTGCAGCTCTTCTTCTCGCATGCAAAGCTGTTCAATCCCTCGGCATACACAAAGCGGTTTTTGAAAGTGATTGTAAGGTGTTAATTGATGCTATGCAACAAAAGGGCATTTGTCCTTGGTGTATTCATCATTTCGTCTCGGACTCTCGCTTACTTCTCAGCAACAACCCAGAATGGAGTTTCAAGTGGATCAACAGATCTAGTAATGCTGCTGCCCATGAGCTTGCAAAATGGGCTTTTTATCATTTAGGAAATGCTTCATCTTTCTTTTTTAATGATCTCCCACCTAGAGTAAAAAACTTAGTGTTAGCGGAGTCTTCTTTAATTTATCGTGTTGATGTAGGCTCTAACTCTTCTGTATAATATTGTACTTTTCTAATGCAATGGAAGGTTCGATTTAGCAACAACAAAAAAAGGAGGACTTCGATCCAATTTTTGGCCTCTTTTGGCTAGTTTCGGTGGTTCAATTACTCCTTTCACACTTTTTCGGGGCGAAATTTGAGACATTATGTCTGACAGTTCAGTTAAGAACCCTTCACCTACAGGAGATGGCCGTTCGAATTATATTACGTTTGCTACGATCTCTGTGAAGCTTGACGGCACAAATTATTTGATATGGTCTCAATCTGCATTCTTGACCATTGCAGACCATAGGCTAACGGGACATATTAATGGCACTTCGATGAAGCCGACTACACCAGGTAATGCTCAAGACAAGTGGATCTCTAACGACTCTTTGGTAATGTCTTTTTTGCTTAATTTGATGCAGCCACATATTGCAAAAGGATATTTGCTTCTTGATACGGCGACTCAGATTTGGTCAGCTGGTAGGGCTACTTATGGTCAACTTGGGAATAATGCACAAGTATATGAACTTCGAAAAAGGGTTCATGACACCACCCAAAAGAAGATGACTATATCTCAATATTATGCTAAGCTTCGGAGCTTGTGGCAAGAGCTAGATCATTATGCCGATTATCAGCCAGCCAATGCTACGGACATTGCTGCATACAGGAGCCATGTGGACAAGATAAGAGTTTATGATTTCTTGGCAGGATTGAATGTAGAATATCATCATATACGTGTTCAAGTCCTTAGTCGGTCCCCATTCCCTACTCTGGAACAGTCCTATGCACTGGTTCGATCTGAAGAAAGCCATCGGACAGCAATGCTCCATCCATCTATTATAGATCGATCTGCTCTACAAACTAGCATTGGCACTGTTGACAAATATGATTCATCCACTCAATCTGGTGATACCTTTAAAGAGGTTGTAAAGTGTAAGCATTGTCATAGGCCATATCATACTAAGGCTACATACTGGAAGTTACATGGAAAACCTGTAGATTTTGAGGCAAAAAGGGCACAAAGAAAGGCAAAAAACAAGGCAAATCATACAGAAACTGTTCTTGCTACATCTACTGTTGATATCAGTTTATCCCATGAAGAACTTCAGGCATTTCGATGTCTATTGAAAGCTTCTGCTGCTACTAGCTCCTCCACGATTCCCAATTCGCCTTTTCCTTCTGTTTCAAACCTAGCCACTTCAGGTATCTTTTTTGGAGGATTTAATACATCAGTTGTTTCCAGCCCATGGATCGCAGGGGCTACAGATCACATGACAGGTTCTTCTAGTCTCTTCCATAAATACACCCCCACTTCTGGCAAAGACAAAGTTCGCGTAGCTGATGGAACCCTCTCTTCCATTGCTGGAAAAGGGTTTATCAATTGTTCTTCCACTCTTCCCTTGTCTTCTGCTTTACATGTCCCATCACTCTCTACTAACCTCCTTTCTGTTAGTAGTTTAACTCGAGACTTAAATTGCAAAGTAACATTTTTTCCTTCTTATTGTGTTCTCTAGGATCAGGTAACGGAGAAGGAGATTGGATATGGTAAATTGGATGGTGGTCTTTATCTGCTCGAGGGTAGTGGGGTTTCTACTTCGACTTTGTCTTCTACGCCTCATCGAGTTAATTCGGCATTGACAAATCTTCACCAATGGCATTGCAGATTAGGTCATCCTCCTTTAGGAACTTTAGAAAAAGTTTTTCTTAGACTCGTTTCAGCTTGTAATAAAGATGAGTTTTTTTGTGAAGCCTGTATTTTGGCTAAACAAACTCGTTCAACATATCTATCTTCAAATAATAAAAGTCGTTTCCCTTTTCATGTGATTCATACTAATGTGTGGGGTCCTTCCCGTCGTACTTTTATTTCTGGTCATCGATGGTTTGTCACTTTTATTGATTGTCATTCTCGTATAACTTGGGTTTATTTGTTGAAACATAAGAGTGATGTTTTTCACTGTTTTCAAATCTTTCACAAAATGGTTCAAACTCAGTTCAATGCCACTGTGAAAATTCTTCGCAATGACAATGGCACTAAGTACAATGAGGGTCAATTTTAACGGAGACTCTCTGATCATGGCATTATTCATCAAACCAATCGTGTTGATACCCCCACACAAAATGGTGTTGTCAAAAGAAAGAACCAACATTTGTTAGAGGTCGCTAGTTCTCTTATGTTTGCCCGTCATGTCCCAGCCTAGTACTAGAGTGATGTTATTTTAACCGCTGCTTATTTAATCAATCGGATGCCGACTAGAATTCTTGATTCCCGTGCACCTATTGATGTTTTACAAGGATCGTCGACTTTTATTCTTGCCCCTAAAATTTTTGGTTGTGTTGTTATGCTCGTAACACCATTTCTAAGAGTAAGTTGGAACCCCGTGATCTCCACTGCATTTTTCTTGGGTATTCAGCTACTCAGAAAGGGCATAAATGTTATCATCCTCCTTCTAGGCGCATCATTGTATCTATGGATGTGATTTTTCACAAGTCTAATTCCTATTATTATAAAGTAAAGGGGTGTAAATAAGTCATCTCGAATCAATGGATTCATTGTAAAATCCCTCTATATTATAGTGCATTTTTATGACAATTTTGTTGGCTGATAAAAGGATTAAATGGTATAATTCTTTTGTTTTGGTGGTAGATTGGAGGATTAGAAACATGATTATTGCTTTCCAATCGGCTGTTTTTGCATTAATTGCTACTTCATGCCATATCCTTAATAGCAGGTTGGTTACACCTATAACCGAAATGGAAATCAAGCGTTTCGTGGTTCAAAAATGCCGAATCTCGTCTCAAATAGCTTATAACTGTGGTTTGCAGCATATTGTTTTTTTTTTTTTTTTGATAACCCAGGAACCCCCCGCACGGCCGACAGCCGGAGGGATAAACCTAGGGTGACGCTAGCGCAGGACCCATCACCACGGCGCCACACTTAAGAATCCCTAACGACTATGCTGGGGTTCGAACTCTGATCCCTTCGTAGGGGGACTAGAGCGCAAGCCAATGCAGCCGCTGCGGGCAGTGGTTTCGCAGCATATTGTTGCTGCTCAGAATTTCCATAAACCAATATAAACGGTAGAGGGAAACGTAGAAAGGTCTAATCTCGGTCATTGAGCATCTTCTGGCGAGAATATTTAAAGCTTACGATTCAATTACTCGTCCAGCTAAGCAAAAAATAGGCCAAATGCTTCTGAAATGTAATCCTCTGCTCATACTCACTGCAAGGACTAAATAATGTGTTGTGCACTCACACAAAAGCGCACAAATTCACATGTCTAGCAAATCATTTTCAGATTTAATCTTGTCTGTGTGCAAGAAACAATTTGATGCTGTAAACAATTAGTTCCTAGAGTTACAAATGCCACTACTTGCACGGGGACAATGATACAAGCGCCTTGAACTCATCTAACCCCATTGATGAGCCTACTCAAATCCGATCCCAATGAGTAAATGACTAAAAATACTCAACTTCCCATAGCCTTTCTTCCCAAATTTCATGGCTCGTGCAAAATCCTATTCAATAAAATTGACGCAGAATTTGTCAGCGAGGGAGTTCTGCAAGGCTCGGGATTTGCTTGATTACTTATATCGATCTTTCGGATATCAAACTGCAGTCATTTCCAATCTCATCACTGAATTGGAAAGTCATAATGTCAGCAGTAATAAATTACTGTGAACGGAGTGAACATGAGAAACTACTTCCTGACGGACTACATCCCTTTCTTATCTTCCTGTAGCAGTAGTGGTCGCCAAAGGCTTCTTCCAAGGGATGAAGATTTTTGGTATCTTAGACCTGCGAAGATAGTAATGATATTTGGTTGAGATGAACAATAGTGATAGATTAAAACATCAAACAATCAACATATGCAAAGAAGTTCACGTGGCTGTGTGCCTGAATTTATGTGTTTCAGAGAGAGTTTTTAGCATCACAGTAGCTGGAGATTGGAAAGAGCAATACCCTGTCAAGTTCCTTTCTCTGCAGTATAGTCGAAGAATTTCATCCGACAACAAACGTTCTTCTTTTTCTAGTTCCGAGTTCACGGCTTTTATCAGACCAAAGCTGAGGGTACACCCAACAACCATCTCAGTCAGGTGAGCTTCATGAATTCCCATGACAACTATTCCAGCGACTCCTGGCTGTTGTAAAAGTATTGCTGCAACCTATGTTAGGAAACAAGAACATTTCCCAAGAAAATGAGCTGAGGGTACATCTTTTTAGATTAGCTAATCATGATTTTGAGAAAATGAAACATGTTCATCGAAGAGAGAAAATATGTATCACATTTGAACCTATCAACAAATCTATGCCTGCTCAAAGAGAAAAATGATTCATTGCTAAGCCAATTCAGACATGAAACAGTCCACTACCTCTTCAGGGTAAACATTTTCTCCCCCAGTCTTGATCCGACTGCTCTCCCGACCATTGAGCCACACCTGACCATGCTCATCAATGAAACCTACATCACCCATGTCGAACCATGAATGACTGCTAGAGTCTGATAACAGAAATTGATCCCAGTATACAATAATCAAATCCGGTCCTCTGGTTAGAACTTTCCCAATGCCATTAGAATCATCACTGTCCATCCTCAATTCAACATGTGGAGCCACACTTTGCTGCCTTGGATTGGAAAAATGTGGCATTGGAAGTTCATAAATATGCATGGAACTTCCCAAGTTTTCATTTCCAGATGTTTAGTTTCACTGTACTTATTGGCTTGTGCAAAATCCTATTCGAAAAAATTGATGCAGAATTTGTCAGCAAGGGAGTTCTGCAAGGCTCGGGATTTGCTTGATTACTTACGTCAATCTTTCGGATATTTAAACTGCGGTCATTTCCAATTTCTTCACTGAATGGGAAGTCACAATGTCAGCAGTAATAAATTGCTGTGAATGGAGTGAACATGAGAAACAGCTTCCTGACGGACCACATCCCTTCTTATCTTCCTGTAGTAGTGGTTTCGAAAGGCTTCTTCCAAGGAATGAAGATTTTTGGTATCTTAAAACTGTGAAGATAGTAATGATATTTGGTTTAGAGGAATGATAATGATGGATTAAAACATCAAACAATCAACAAATGCTAAGAAGTTCACGTGGCTGCATGCCTGAATTTGTGAATTTTAGAGTCTTTAGCATCACAGTAACTGGAGATTGGAAAGAGAAATACTCTGTCAAGTAGCTTTTTCTGCAGTATAGTCGAAGAACTTCATCAGACAACAAACGTTCTTCTTTTCCAGCTCCAAGTTCACGGCTTTTATCAGACCAAAGCTGAGGGTACACCCAACAACCATCTCGGCCAGGCGAGATTCAGGGATTGCCATGAAAATGATTCCAACGACTCCTGGATGTTGTAAAAGTATTGCCGCCACCTATGCTATGAAACAAGAACATGTCCCAGGAAAATGAGCTGAGGATACATCTTTTTATATTAGCTAATCTTGATTTTGAGAAAATGAAACATGTTCATCGAAGAGAGAAAAATATGCATCACATTTGAACTTATCAACAAATCTATGCCTGCTCAGAGAGAAAAATGATTTCATTGCTAAGCCAATTCAAACATGATGCAGTCCATTACCTCTTTAGGGTAAACATTTTCTCCCCCAGTCTTGATCCGACCGCTCTCTCGCCCAGTGAGCCACACCCGACCATGCTCATCAATGAAACCGACATCACCCATGTCGAACCATGAATGACTGCTAGAGTCTGATAACAGAAATTAATCCCAGTACACAATAATCAAATCCGGTCCTCTGGTTAGAACTTTCCCAATGCCATTAGAATCATCACTGTCCGTCCTCAATTCAACATGTGGAGCCACACTTTGATGCCTTGGATTGGAAACATGTGGCATTGGAAGTTCATATATATGCATGGAACTTCCCAAGTTTTCATTTCCAGATGTTTAGTTTCACTGTACTTATTGGCTTCACAGACTACTGGGAAGCCATAAGCAATCACCATAAGCCATTCAGCTTTGTTGACACAATCTAATCTGTGACAAAAATAACCATATGTGGTTACAGTGAGAATGATGTATGCCTTTTCCAAGTTTCTTATCTTTTCTTGTCTTCATGCGTGGGTGGCAACTCGAATTTGTACAATCATCGTCACAATAAGTCTGGAGTGATTGTTTTAAATTTGAAAGGTCCGCAAGCAAGTAGAGTCAGAGTAATTGGAGAATGGAATTTTTTTTATTCAATTTTTGCAGGTTTATTTGCATACTGCTCCTTTGTGCCATATTGGTGGTCTGTCATCATCAATCTTAATGGCTGGAGCTTGTAATGTTTTGCTACCCAGGTTCGAGGCTAAAATAGCCATTAAGTTTATAAAGAAACATAATATCACTGCTTTGATCACTGTTCCAGCAATGATTGCTGATCTAATATCCTTTCTCAGGTTAAATAAGATCTATGATCCTTACAAGCACTTTCATGGTATCAGTTTTATGTTATACTCTTCTAGTGGTACTTTTGCTTAATTCTGAGTTTCCTCAGGGATAAAAGACCATGGAAAGGAAAGAACTGCGTGAAAAGGATACTAAATGGCAAAGGAAGTCTGTCGATCAATCTCATCAAAGAAGCTGGCCACTTCTTCCCAAGGACTAAGATTCCCTCGGTCTACGGTGTGCATCCTCTATAAGTATATATGCATTGAATGTCACTACTTCAGTGCTAGTTGAAGGAGTACCTGCTAGCAATGTGCAATGAACTACTCTGCTCATTATACTATTCCCAATATGCAGGGATGGCAGAGACTTGTTCTTCGCTAACGTTCATGACCCTCTATGACCCACATTTCCCTTTTACCTGCCAGCCCCTTCATTTTCATGTCAGAACAAATCTCAATCCAGTTCAAAGACCAAGAGGCATTTGTGTTGGCAAACCGGTACCACATGCTGAATTGAGGACAGATAGTGATGATTCTATTAGCTTTGGAAAAATTCTAACCAGAGGTCCACATTTGATGATTGGATTCTGGGATCAAGTTCCGGCATCAGATTTTAGTAGTCATTCATGGTTTAACACAGGTGATATTGGTTTCATCGATGAGCATGGTCCGGGGTGGCTCATTGGTCGAGAAAGTGGTCTGATCAAGACGGGGAGAAAATGTTTACCCTGAAGAGGTACTGGAATGTATCATCCATGAATTGGCTTAGCAATAAAATTATTTTTCTCTTTGAGCAAGCATAGATTTTTGGATAGGTTCGAATGTGGTACATATTTTTCTGTCTTAGATGAAGATGTTTCATTTTCTCAAAATCATGGTTAGCTAATATGATAAAGATGTTCGACCAAAAAAAAAATGACAAAGATGTACTCTCAGCGAATTTTCATGTGACATGTTCTTGTTACACAACATAGGCAATAGTTTTACAAAATCCAGGAGTCGGTGGAATCGTAGTCGTGGGAATCCCCGAAGCTCGCCTGACTGAGATGGTTGTTGGGTGCATTTGTGTGAAAGAGAACTGGCTTTGGTCTGATAAAAGCCATGTACTTGGAGCTGAAATAGAAAAACATTTGTTGTCTGATGTAGGTGGGCGAAACTTGAAATGGGATAGAAAGCCAATGATGATTTTTGAGATGAATAGAATCAATGTTGCAGAACCGATCATCAGCTTCACTTCTTGCTTTGATTTTTTTGGTCGAAACTTCTTGCTTTGATGAAATGGATCATCCATCTCTTCTCTTACTAGTGTAAGCTATGATTTGTTCTTTCCTTTTTCCCCCCACTCAAATTTTAGGTTTTCTCACGTTGGTGACTGCTACTTGGAATTGTTACTAGCTGTTGCATTCATTGGAGGGATCGTCTGCTCCTCTAAACTACAGATCGTTGAGTGAAGTTCTGCGGAACTAGTTAGTGAAGGGGTTAAATCCTCTGTATTGGCAATTATGCATTTGAATCCACAAATTGGGTATAACGATAATTCATGTTCGAAATTGGAAAGTAAAAGACACTTGTCAAATTTTAGGTACGTAAGCAGTGGCAAGACATCAGTCCATCATGAGCCGACTTCATGGCAATTTTAGCATGATGAATATCTATATCTTTTGTACACTTCACCTTTGGATGCTCCAGTGGAATCTTTAGCAGACCCGTGCATGCATGCAAAATGCAATGCTGTGTAATGGAACCAAAAAGCAAGACATAATAAAATTGTTGCAATTACGGCATGTGAAGGGTAACAGTGGGCAATGACTCCGTGGAAGTGGAAAAACAGAAAGGATGATGAGGTGTCTGTATCAGATTCGGTTGGAGGAGAAATTAGCCAATCTCAGTACCTTAGTTGCCGAAATCAGCAGATCTCGGTGCCTTAGTTGTCTCTTTTATCGCCCAGAAAATTGAGAAAGTAGGGCAAACCGCTAAATGTCATTATGATGATTGTTTTATAATGTGTACATCTATTTGATGGTGTTAAATCGTTCTAAAATCTTGATTGTAGAGAGCAAATGAAGCTATATTGGCCATGTTAGCCGTAACCCCGGTGATGGTGGTGACAGACAGGAGTTGTATCAGCTGGTATTCTGAGATCCACAAGGATGGTATATTCAAGAAATGTGAATGGTAAGTCGCTTTCTTGAAGTCTGAAGTTGTTGGAGGACGATAAAAATTCATGTTACCCATCATGCAATGTAGAAAATCATGATATTCTTGGTATCGTTGATCCAGCCTTTCTTTTCATGTGCTAGTATCAACTATGGTCATGCTATATATGCATCCAGTAACTCCTCTGAGCTCCTTTCCAACTACTGACTACGTCTGGGCTTGTGATGCTGGTGTCATAATATGCTTCACCTCCTGTATAATCTTTACTTCCTCTTATTGCCGATAACAAGTATTTTTTTGTGGTCTTCAAGGGGTAACTTTTTGGGAAAGATTGGTTTTTTACTCTTCAATAAAGTGATACATCCTATTTAGAGACGTGTGAAGGTGCAAGCTCAAACATACACCCATGGAGAAATGGAAATGGCACTATGTAGCTTTATTACCTATTTCGAAGTCTCAATCATATGAACTGATACCAGATGGCAATTTTTTGGATTGATTGCCTGCCCAAAAAAGTTTCATTGTTATCAGATTTGCCAAAGAGCAAACCGTACCAGATTTGTAAATATATACGACTTTCTTTTGGCTTGATTACCTGATGCATAATATACTTCACTTACCCTACATCTGAACCAGACTACTTAGAAAAGCTTCTTTGTCCATCTTTCTTGGCAATTTTTGAAGGGTTCTCAAATTGAGGATTACATTATGTGATCTGGGTTTCTAGTTTCAAAGGTTGGCTTGCATTCCAATACTCAACAGATTTCTTTGGGCGTAGGTTCTTTTTATACGATTTCTTTCCTCTCTGTGATTTCATAGGTGGGATCAAAAGGTCAATTATATGCCACTTCGACGCCTTGGTTTGGAAAAATGTGGCATTGGAAGTTCATAGTCACGCATGGCACGTCCCAAGTTCTCATTTCCAGATGTTTAGTTCTACTGGGCTTATTGGCTTCAGGTTCTATTGGGAACCGAAAGGAGTCGCCACAAGCCGTTCAGCTTTTTTCGTTCAATCTATGGCAAAAATAGCCAAATGTGGTTACAGTGAGAATGACGTGCCCTTTCCAAGTCTCTTCTCGTTTACCGTCTTCATGCTTGGTTGGCAATCGGAAATTCTATAACCATTGTCAGAAATAGTCTGAAGTGATCGTTTCCATATTTGGAAGGTATGCTGGCAATTAAGAGTCAGAGTAAAATGACAAATGAATTTTATTTTTATTCAATTTTTGCAGATTTATTTGCATACTGCTGCCTAGTGCCACATTGGTGGTCTCTCATCAGCCATGGCAATGTTCACTGCTGGAGCTTGCCATGTCTTAATACCCGAGTTCAAAGCTAAGTCAGCCATTGAGCTTATGGAGAAATACGATGTCGCAGCTTTGATCACTGTTCCGGCAATGGTTTGCTGATCTAATATACTTTCTCAGGTTATCTACGAAGAATGATCTTTAATGAGCAATTTAATTAAATAACGACTATCATGTGTGGAGAGCATTGCCCGCTTACATGGCGTATGTTGAAATTTATGCTCTTCTAGTGGCACTTTTGCTTCCGAGTTTCCTCGGGGAGAAAGGGCCGTGGAAAGGAAAAGATTGCGTGAAAAAAGATATTAAATGGCGGAGGAAGTCTGTCGATCGATATCATCAAAGAAGCTGGCAAACTTCTTCCCAAGAGCTAATATATTCTCTCCGCCTATGGTGTGCATCCTCTATAAGCATATATGCAGCCGAATGGCTAACCGCTGTGGGAAGAAAGCATTTGGCACGTAAAATTTGATTTTTTACTTTCTTGCCAAAATTTTAATGTTTTCAGAATTTCAAAAAATTATTAGAAATCTTGTACAAACCTGGTATTGATGCTCGCATGTTAGGAAAATTTTATGTTATTTCGAGCTTAGAAAAGTCGAAATGCATATACTGTAAAACGAGATTTAAAAATTGAAAATCAATCCAACAACAACTTAATATATACATGAATGAATGTATGTAAATATTTTGACCAAAAAAAATGTATGTAAATATTAGAAGGTGGAAAAAAGAATTAAAGGAATCGCAATTACTAATTAAATAATTGAAATAGAAAATTAATAAAAAAGATGGGGCGGGAAAAAGTGCCGTTGTCCAAACCAGAGAAAACCCTCGTCCCAAGTTTCCTATATTATGCTCTGTTCCGTTGCGTCTCCCTCACTATCCTCTCTCCCCTGTCTCTGTCTCTGTCTCTGTCTCTCTGCCTCTCTAATTCTGAGCAATTCTCGTTGCTCTGCTCTGAACTCTGTCTCTTGCTACCGATCACTGCTCGTTCCTCGGCTGTTAACTCTGTCTCTTGCTACTGATCACTGCTCTCTTTGGGGCTCTGAGCAATCCTTGTTGCCCTCAATGCAATTCTCTCTCTTGATTCGGAGGGTTTCTCTGTCTCCCTCTCCGGGCAATCCTCTGAATCTGAGCAATTCTCGCTGCTCTGCTCTGAACTCTGTCTCTTGCTGATATCACTGCTGCGGCTCTGAGCAATCCTTGTTGCTCTCGATTCAATTATCTCTCTTGATTTAGAGGATTTCTCTGTTTCCCTCTCTGGGTAATCCTCCCGTTGTCCGACCACGAATCCGACAACGATCGTGATGCCTGTCCACGGCATTCCAGTTGCCAAGCGTTAGTCTCGTTCAAAACCCCCACTTTCGTCTTTCTTTCTTTCTATGTTTTGTGGGTTGGATTTTGTTGATGGTTCTTTTTTCTTACAGGTCTCTACAAGAAAGAACTTGAACTGAAGCAGATTGGCAATTTTCTGGGCCCTAGATCGCGCATCAAGTTAGGGCACTTCAGATAGTATGTCCTTTTTTGTACTGCTCTGTTTCTTGTTCTCGCCCTTTTCTTCTTTTTTCTTGCATCGTTATTTCAAATTCTCCTTTTAATTTCGATTTCTGAAGGGTATTATGATCTTGCTTGCTCTGTTTTTTTCTGATGGGTTTTCTGACCAGTTACCGACACCAACCGCTGGATGCCAAGATTTATCCGAATAAATTTCTCCAAAGCCACGTAGAAGAGAAAAATCCAGCCAATGTAAGTATATTTCCAACAAGACCCATCTCGTGTTGTTCTGATGACGCTAATTTACGTGCAGATGTTGCTGTGGAAGCCTATGAGTACGTTGATGATATATGCGCCTTCTACAAATCGGAAGAGGAAGAGGTGAACTATCTATAGGCTGATTATGTTCCAATTCGATGAGTTTACGCTGAAATTGTGCCGAGTCACTGAATTGGGTATTTTACGCCGTGCAGAAATCTATGTGCATAAAACCCAATGTCATTGCTAGACTGAAGCACGGCATCGACAAGAAGTTGAGAGCATGTATTGTCGAGTGGTTGATTGAGGTACTAAGGAGTTCCTTTTTTATTTCTTGGGTTGTACTTGTGATTCACATTACTATACAGTATTGTTCAAACAAAGACTAGAATAATGTGTTGAGTTCAGGATGGTTTTCATGACATTTCTGCTATGAATTGTTGCAAGATTTGCAATGAAATTGCAGTCACAGAACTGTTAATGTTTGCACTACGATAATGGATGAAATTTTAGAATCTTCTATCCAATGTAATTTGACCTATTTCCCTCCAAATCGGGAATCTATTTCACAGCTATGAAAAACTGGTAATTTTCCTGATTTTCTCACTTAATAACTAGGCACACAAGCTGTTCAAGTTCCCAACCGAGGCTCTATTTCTTGCCATCAATCTTTTCGACCGATTTGTGGCCATTTGTCCGGTGGAAAAGAAGAAAGTGAGTTTGGTCAGAATAACCGCCCTGCAGTTGGCTGCTAAGTATGCTGGAATAAGAGAATCGATCCCTTGTGTCTACTTGTTTTCCCACCTGGCGCTTACTTCGTGCCCTGTGAAGAAGATTTCGTGCTCTGCAGAGCAGATTGTAGAAATGGTAGGCGAAATACCCATTTCTTATTTTGTTTCTGTTTCTTCATTAGCTTTTCTTTTTTACATAATTCTCTTTGTCCTTTGGCATTATGCAGGAGTATTTGATCTTGAACACTATAGAGTATGAATTGTCAATCCCTACCCCGTCTACATTTATGTGGAAGTTTCGTAAGGAAACTCAATCGTACTTGGTTTCTGTTAATGTTATTTGATGTTGTTATGAATCGATCTTATGACAATAGTATAGAAAATGATTTGGGTTTCTGTTTGTACCTCCAACCAGATCAAACACTTGTCCTTCTTCTTCATCGATCTCTGCCTAGTTCAGTGTGGAACGCTCCCATTTCGACCTTCTGTATTGGCTGCCGCTGCAATTTACACCGCCCATGCCACTGTTGAAGGGTGTAAGCCATGCAGCAAAATCTATGAGCAGTTGACCGGTTGTAGTGCCCAAACAATCTTGTAAGTAGCGAGGGACTTCAATTATTGTTTATTACACCATTCATCTTTTTGTTTATATCGACATAGGAATCTGATGGATTATTTCCTTTTGGCTACTTTTCCTTTGTGTAGGAAATGCTCGAGACTGATGGTGACTTCCCATCAAAAAGCGAGGAGTGTCAGGAGGGTGTATAAGAAGTACAACACGAGGGAATACGAGTGGCTAGCTAGAGCTGAACCGGCTCGATTTCTCTTGACCGAATTTAGCAGGGCCAGGGTCTTCATCTTTAAGCTTATTTTGTTTCTCCTTAGAGACCGGTAACAACATTTGGTTTTAGAGTCTTTGTACTCATTGATGATTCGAGTGTATCGTTCAAAGCTCTTGAATGGAAAGTTGCTTATTCTCGGCTGTGAAAATCTATACTTTGCTAGTGTTGTTTTCATGCGAACAAGTTTTAAATTTTGTTTAATTTGGTCTACATGGTTTGGTTTAATTCATTTACATCTACTGATGTAAATGAACACCTTTAGCAATCACAGCCACAACACCTCTGCAATAGCTTATAACTGTGGCTCGCAGCATATTGTTGCTGCTCAGAATTTCCATAAACCAATATAAACGGTAGGGGGAAACGTAGAAAGGTCTAATCTCGGTCATTGAGCATCTTCTGGCGAGAATAGGTAAAGCTTACGATTCAATTACTCATCCAGCTAAGGAAAAAATAGGCCAAATGCTTCTGAAATGTAATCCTCTGCTTATACTCACTGCAAGGACTAAATAATGCGTTGTGCACTCGCAGAAAAGAGCACAAATTCACATGTCTAGCAAATCATTTTCAGATTTAATCTTGTCTGTGTGCAAGAAACAATTTGGTGTTGGAAACAATTAGTTCCTAGAGTTACAAATGACACTACTTGCACGGGGACAATGATACAAGCGCCTTGAACTCATCTAACCCCATTGATGAGCCTACTCAAATCCGATCCCAATGAGTAAATGACTAAAAAACTCAACTTCCCATAGCCTTTATTCCCAAATTTCATGGCTCGTGCAAAATCCTACTCAATAAAATTGACGCAGAATTTGTCAGCGAGGGAGTTCTGCAAGGCTCGGGATTTGCTCGATTACTTATGTCGATCTTTCGGATAGCAAACTGCAATCATTTCCAATCTCATCACTGAATTGGAAAGTCATAATGTCAGCAGTAATAAATTGCTGTGAATGGAGTGAACATGAGAAACTACTTCCTGACGGACTACATCCCTTCTTATCTTCCTGTAGTAGTAGTGGTCGCGAAAGGCTTCTTCCAAGGAATGAAGATTTTTGGTATCTTAGACCTGCAAAGATAGTAATGATATTTGGTTGAGACGAGCCATAATGATAGATTAAAACATCAAACAACAATCAACATATGCAAAGAAGTTCACGGGGCTGTGTGCCTGAAGTTGTGTATATCAGAGAGAGTTTTTAGCATCACAGTAGCTGGAGATTGGAAAGAGCAATACCCTGTCAAGTTCCTTTCTCTGCAGTATAGTCGAAGAATTTCATCCGACAACAAACGTTCTTTTCCAGCTCCAAGTTCACGGCTTTTATCAGACCAAAGCTGAGGGTACACCAACAACCATCTCAGTCAGGTGAGGTTCAGGGATTCCCACAACAACGATTCTAGCGACTCCTGGATGTTGTAAAAGTATTGCTGCCACCTATGTTAGGAAACAAGAACATTACTCAAGAAAATGAGCTGAGGGTACATCTTTTCAGATTAGCTAGCCATGATTTTGAGAAAATGAAACATGTTCATCAAAGACAGAAAAATATGTACCACATTCGAACCTATCCACAAATCTATGCTTGCTCAAAGAGAAAAATGATTTCATTGCTAAGCCAATTCAGACAAGATACAGTCCATTACCTCTTCAGGGTAAACATTTTCTCCCCTAGTCTTGATCCGGCTGCTCTCTCGACCAGTGAGCCACACCCGACCATGCTCATCGATGAAACCAATATCACCTGTGTTAAACCATGAATGACTGCTAAAATCTAATGCCGGAACTTGATCCCAGAATCCAATCATCAAATGTGGACCTCTGGTTAGAATTTTTCCAATTCTAATAGAATCATCACTATCTATCCTCAATTCAGCATGTGGTACCGGTTTGCCGACACAAATGCCTCTTGGTCTTTGAACTGGATTGAGATTTGTTCTGACATGAAAATGAAGGGGCTGGCAGGAAAAAGGGAAATGTGGGTCATAGAGGGTCATGAACGTTAGCAATGAAGACCCAACATGAAGATCCTTCCTCATTAGCCTGACCAGAAGAGGACGCAGTGTAAACTCATTGGGCCTTAACAACGTCAAGAGAGAGAGAGAGGGTTTTAGGGTTTTGGAGATTCGACCGATTACATGAAAGAGCGAGGCGAGTATAGACTGGAGATTTTCCAGGAGAGGGATGGTGAATGAGAGGGGAAGGAACCACTGCCTTCACCAGATTCCTCGCCTCCAACATTCTCTCTCTTCCATAATCACCCCCCATCGTCGAACTCGCATATCCACCCGCCTCCTCTTCTTTACCCCCAATGCCCAGAATCGCACCACCCTCCTCGGCAACCTCGTTGGCTTCCTCCTCATGAAGATCCGACTATAGCCCCCCGCAAACCTCAGTCAGCTTCTTGCTGTTTCTTCCCTCAAAAATCATGGCCCGTCATGTGGCAAAAAGTCTGGTAATTTCTTGAGTGACTCGCACCCATCCCTATTAAAGCGCCACAGGAATTTGCTAGGGCAGCGAATTTCAACTAAGCTTTCGCAATTCCTAACAATCAACTCCTTCAGATGCTCCGACTTTGAAAGGTCCAGTACTTGAATGTGCTTGCGCCCAGCGATATCCAACACTTCCAGGGATCCCAATTTTTCAACGCCTCGTATCGCATGGAGTTTATCTGCCCTTTCGCCCAACCATGGCCCTCTGGATAGGTTCAACCTTCTTAGGGATTTTAAAGCTTCCAGTCCATCCAATTCCTTCAGCCCATCGCATTCCCAGAGCCCTAATTCCGACAAAAATTCCAAATCGGAAAGCTTTGGCAACCTTTCCAATTTGGGGCATCTCCGAACGTCAAGCGTCCGTATGCAGGAGGGAAGCTCTGGGATGCTCTGAAGAGACATGCAAGAATGAAGGGTGAGCTCCTCGAGATGGTTCAGGTGAGAGAGCAATGGCAGCTCATTGCTCCGACAGGTGAGCCACAGGGATGATAAGCTAACAGGAGGTCTTGGGAGTGACTGAAGCTCACTACAGTCGAGTAAATCGAGGCGTTCGAGAGAAGAAAGCTGATCTAAGTTTTCCGGCAAGCCAGAAATTTTTGTTCCAGCTAAGCGAAGGGTCTTTAGAGAAGACAATCCACCTTTATCAACATGAATTTCTCCTTCCAGTTCAGAGCATTGGTCGGCATAGAACTCTTGGAGGCTTTGCAATTTCCCAATAGAGCTCGGTAACCTTTTTATCTTGCTAAAAGAAATCCTCAAAATTTTCAATTTATTCAATTCCCCAATGGATTCGGGTAATTCGTTAATCCCTGTCCATGACAAGTCCAGCTCAACCAACTCTCCCAACTTCTCAATTGAAGAAGGGATTTGTTGCAACGGCCTGCAGAACGCTAACGCTAACGACACCTGTTCCAAACAGAGACGGATTATTGAGCTGGGAACTTCAGTCATTCGATAACAACTGTTGGCACTAAGCCTCTTCAACTTCTTCAGAGATCCTATACATGGAGGGATTTCTTTTATCCAAGTCTTGTCTACGACAAGTTCCTCCAAATTCTCTAGTTCGCCCAGTTGTTCGGGTAACTTCTCGAGACTCTCACAGTAACTCAAGTTCAAGGAAACGAGGCGCTTGACATCTCCAATGGAAGGGTCGATTTCTTTCAAATGGACACACTGTTTCAAGATTAGCATCTCTAAATTTTTAAACGCAGAAAGATTAGGGGTGCTTTGAAAATGGAAGCACCTCGAAAGATTGAGAACTTTCAACCTCTCCATCTACAAGAAAGAAACATGTTCCAAGATTAGCAGTTAGAAAATAAAATGATTTACCATCAAATGTAACAAAAAGAGAGAGCCTTTTTCATATTCACCTTAATTGAACTCCATCCTCTCCATTTTTCACTAATATTATCGGATGATAAATCAAGCGCGACCAATTTTTCTAAATGAACATTGGTCGCCTCGAAAGAGTCGGGACATCTCTCCCACTTTAGCCATCTTAATTCAGAAAGTGATCCTTCGAAATCTCCTGCAAAACCCATGGCCCTCAAATGAAGGAACTTCAGGTTAGGCATTCTTTTGAAGCTTTCTCGCTCCATGAACTCTCTGGAGCCCCTTTTGTCTAGACGTAGTGCCTCAATTTTTTCATTTTCCTCCTACAAAGAATAAAATAAAATTGAGGATTGTAAATACTATCCAACCTCCTTTTGTTAGTATACTCTGCATTTTATTGTGGCCGATGCATTTTGTCTACACTTGTAGGAAAAAAAGAAATGTATGTGATCTTTTATAATTACATGATTATGTAATATGTCAATTTTCACTCGTATGCCCCAAATTTTGATGTTTTATGTGAAATTCCTATATGAAATTAGTCAAGTTTTCTTATAAATTTTGAAATTAAATTTTGTAACATACGTAATATTGACGACTGACTAAATATGGTGTCCCTTTGACATATGTGAGAACTGTCACACGTTTCAAAAACAAAAAGTACCTAATCATACTTATGCATTCATAAAGCATGACAACTCATTCCCTTCCCATTCATAAAATATTTTTGGTTTTAGCGTATGGCTGGATGGAAACAAGAATTTGGTATGTTGAACTTGAGTTTTCATTTTTGGATATTCAAGCTCAAAGCTCAACAACTAATCCTTAGATGAGTGAGAAATTGTCTAATCAATCCTAAACTTATCAAAATTGCAATTTAATCTGAAGACCTTAGCGTGAAATTTCAATCTAGTCATTCTAGTTAATTTTTACAGGAAATCGCTGACGTGACAGTGTGCCATGTAGGACGGTCGCAAATGATTGGATCATGGCGAAAATTGATCGGAAGGACTACATTGGAATTTTGTGCAAAGATTAAAGACTAAATTGGCAAAATTGATAAGTTTATGACTGAATGAACATTCACACAATAGATTTAGGACCAATTGGGTAATTTTCTCCTAAGATGAGCACGCTACTCAATTAGTCATCATTGAATTTGCCCCAATCAGTCATAAAATTCGACTTGATCTTAAGAATTTGTTAGTGCCTTTTTTACCATTCCCCCATTCATATAAAAATATATGAATTAGTAAATAAAGGACAGTGATTATTATTGCTTTCCTTTTTTTACATTCTAACATTGATTTTTTGCTCTCCAGTTATCTTATTTGATAAGTTAAATATTTGTTTTTTCTTGGCTAATGTCTAACAATAGATTTTTGTCTCCTCTTTGTCGGTGTGTGTGCATAAAGGCTCAATTAATCCGTACCAAGAAAGGCTCGCTCGTTACATAATAGAGGTGGATATTGTATCACCCCAAAGGCAGATAAAACAAGGAGAACACAATTTCTTTCACCTTTCACTATTCCGTCACTTACTTCCTACAATCATTTAATTTCTTAATTTCGATCTTTGCTTTTCAGTTTTTTTATCGAAAATTACTTTATATGAATATGTACAAAATCATATGCTAGTTGTTAGTTAGTTTCTTCTGTCCTAATTTACTATTGTTTGATTTTGCACAACATTTGTTAATGTTGATTTATGTGCTCAAAATACCTATGACTAGATCCGTGCATAGCACCAGTATGAACAAATGTATATATTATGAACGCTGGATAGAATAGTCTTATGCCATTGCTAGAAAATGATGTGAAAACGACACACGAGCAAAATAGATAAAATTAATAGTACACAAATTTAATAACCCTTTTCCGAGCCTCATAATCACCAGTGCAAAACTTTTCATGAACTAGAGGCTAGAATTGTTACCAAGAAAATGCTAATAGCATGCTGAGAATGGTCAAAGATATAGAGAAAAAGAACAGTAACAATAGTAATTTGAGGGACTACGATTAGATAACATGTGAGAGGCCAAAAGTAGACATAATTGTTACCTTGCGTCCTAGAACTTTCATGGCTTCCTCATCCCATAGTCTGCTCCAATCCCAAGGCTCCTTATGTGCTGAACGGACTATATCTCTGCCTAGATCTCTTAATTGATCATGCATTCTCAACTCATTGTTTTCACCATATTTTATTAAAGAAAGTTCATTCATTCTTGCCAATCCAGAAGCAGGGTACAAATCGAGATCCTTCCACAGGTAGGTGGCAATTCTTTTGTTGATTCCAATGAAAAAGCAGGCTATGTCTAGAAACATTCGTTTTTCTTGATCTCCTAATGAATCGTAACTTAACTTCAACTTTTTTTGTACATCCATATGAGGCACCTTCCTTAATTTCTCCAGCGTCTCTGTCCATATGTCTTCATCTTTTCCTTTGAGATATGAACCTATAATCTCGAGAGCTAGAGGAAGCCCTCCCGTGGTGGCAACAATGTCACTAGAAAGATTCCCAAGTTCTCTTGGAGGTTGTTTTGCTTCAAATGCATACAAGCTAAACAGAAGCATAGAGTCATTGCCATTCATTTCTACGAGTTCATAACATTTATATTCAGACTTCAAGAGGGCCTTATCTCGACATGTAATAATGATTCTACTTCCTGATTCGAAATTACAACCTCCAATCAATTTATCGAGATGGTCTCCATGACCCACATCGTCAAGAAGAATAAGTACCTTCTTTTTTTCACAACTTAATTGGATCTTTCCAATCCCCATCACATAATCATGCACTCTACTTTCATGATTTTTTGTTATATCTGAGATCAGTAGAGATTGGATATGCTCCATACCCTTGTGATTAATTGTTTCTCTAATATCCCTAAGAAAGCTGCGGCACTCAAATTTCTCAGAAAGCTTATTATAGATGTTTGTGGCCAAAGTTGTCTTACCAATGCCGCCAATCCCACAAATCCCAATAATTCGAGTTTCGGAACGATCAGTATCCGCCAATTTCATTACCTCAGCCACACGATCATCAATTCCAACCAAGTTCCTAGGAAGAGGTGGTAGGACATCATGTTGCTGCTCGGCCATTATTACTCGTACGAGTTCTTTTATTAATCCGGCTTCATGCCTATCAAACAACACAACACATGAGAGCTTATTAATGGCTCCACAAAATAAGGATTATGGATGATAAATAGAAAAATTCTTCTTCCGGCGAGGATCTATTAAAACAAGGTGAACAACGTACCCACTAGCAAATTCCTCTGATTCGTATACTCTAAGAGCAAGTGCTTTTTTGAGTGCTTCCGGCCCTTGTTGCTTGACATCCTCCTGGAAACGATGCCTACTGGATTTGAAGGCGTCTCCAAATTTCCCCAGCATGTGTTTCACATCCTTGGGCTTCACCTTGTAAAGCACAGGCAAGACTATTTGTCCTCTACTTTCCTTGCACTTCATGATATGAATGAGTTCGCGGAGGCACCATTCGCTAGCAGCATAATTTTCCGAGATGACTGGGATTGAAACCTTAGAGTGCTCGATTGCATTGAGAAGATTTTCAGCAATTGGCTCACCAAAGCGGAGGTTCTCATCATCTCTGAACACGAAGTTTGGATGGAATGGCAGGCCCTCGTGTCGGAGTCTATGGTAGAGGTGATCGACAAAGCCCTTGCGAGTATCAGGACCTCTAAAGCTCAGGAATACGTAATAGTTGTTTCCAATCGTAGAGGTGGACGAAGCAGATGGCTCAGAATCACTTCGTTCTGGCGAGGTCGAGGATCTAGAGGCTCCAGTATCCTCGGGTTGTCCGCTACGGATGGTCCTCCTCTTCTTTTTACCAGTGAAGTACCGTGCAGCAAAGATAAGAACGGGTATGAAATAATGCCAGGAAAGTCTCATTTTGCTCTTTCAAGGTGGGCGAAAGTACTGTAGTTTCCTTGGCACCAGAAAGATTACTCGACTACTTGAGATAGGTTGGAGCAAGGAAATGGTTACTGGACTATCTCTGCGACACATTTATAGCGTCGCTGGTAAAGAAGAAGAAGGGAAAGCAGGAGGCAAGGCATGATTGCTCCTCGACTATTTAAGTATATTTTTAATCTCTCGAAGTACGTTGGTCGTTTCATGTATTTCACGTGTTCACACTTGGAATCTGGATATGCGTTCAAATTGGCTCAAAGCAAACTACTCACGCATTGCCTTCTTGTGGTCCAAACTCCTCCTCATCCTCGACGTTGGCTTCTCGGCAATATCCGATCCGATGGATGATCATTCCATTCACTGCTCCAAGCGCGCCTTTCCTTTCCACTTCTTGGAGTCTTCCTCTTCCGCGTGCTTAGTCATGGCCTTTTAGGCATTATCAGGTGGCGGTTCTATCTCAATGCTGAATGGAATCAAGATGAGCTGATTTTCTTAAGATTTATATCAGCAGTTCAGTTTGCCCGTGCTACGCATGGGTGCATTAGCGCATCGGGTTTATTTTGTTGTCATTTTCCACGGCAATGTTAGTACTGTGCCGAAAATCAAGGAAAAAAAAAGGAATAAAAGAACTTAATGGCTACATTGTCACTACGATCATCTTACCATTATTGTGGCCTATAGACCCGTGCTATGCACGGAAAAGTCTTGTGAAATAGATTATAGGAAACAATCATTCGAGAAGTATGTTGATCATCATGAAAATAAGAGCTTTTCGTAATATTGAAAGTGAAATATTTATAAGTTGGCAAAAAGAAAAAGTGAAATATCTAAAAGCGAACGTTAATAAAAAATTTATTAATTTTATTTGTGACTCACTATTTCCGCTGATACATTTTTATTTTGAATTATGAGCTTTTACATAAATAGATAACTTATATTGTACTTAAAATTAAAACATGCCTTACTCCACTGATTGTATCTCGTTTGGTAAATCACTGATTTCACTAGAAACTTGCTATCTCTACCATTAGGTCTTTGTTCGAGTGGCAAATTTCTAAAGATGTTGATAACTTACTATTGCGTTTGTAAATTACTGTCGGCATACCTAACCAATTACATTGTTTTACCATATAACAAGACTGAGTTGTGTTTTTTGCTCAACTTGCTAGTAGTAATAGATAAATTACTTAATTTCTCACTTTCAACAATACACTAAGTTTTCCCATATGTCAAATCCTTAATGAATTCAGGTGTTTGCTAGATACCTTGTAAATAACAAGTTTAATTCAGTCGATCATTCGAACTTCCCAATTGAGTCGGGGATATGATGGAGATGATAATCACCAGCACATTACCGGAAAGCATTCATCAATTATTTTCTCATCCGCCCCGGTCACTCTTTCTTTTCTGAGTCTCCAAGGGCATCATGACCCTCTCCTTTTTTTTTTATTTTTTTGGTCGAAATGACCCTCTCCTTGTTAGAGTCAATGTGAAACGCGCTGATTGCACCGACACAATTAGTACGTTCCAGAAACGTTTGCGTGAAGTGTTTGTCCTCTAATTTGAATCGTGCAGCAGGGGAATCATTAGACCTGGAAATCAAAGTCCATAGGCTGCCATGTAGCAAATAGTAAGTCTCCCAGTAGGGAACTATTTGGGGGACATATAAAAAATGCTTTCACAAAGAAAATGATAGATGAGGAGCTCTTGACGTGTATGTGAAGCTAAGGTTCATAAAGTTTGGGATTTTGTCTTTCAAAATTTGTGGGCTTTAATTTTTGTGGCTGAACGTGTGAATGTTTTGTTCAAGAATTTTGTTACGCATTTCAGAAAGGGAATATACCGCAAAAAATCTCTAACTTTATTCAACATGATAAATTTATTTTAAATTTTTTTATGATACAAAAAATTTTAAATTTATATTCGTATAATATATTTATCCTAAACTTTTTTCTATAATACAAAAAATTCTAAACTTTGCTAACTATGATACATTTATCCTAGACTCTTTGGTCGAAAGGCATTTTCGTCTTTTAATTTTTAAATTTTTTTTCCTTTCCTTTTTCTATTTTTTTTCCTTTTTTTCTTCTTCTCCCTTCTCTCAGCTAGGAAGCCGCCAGCGTCGGCAAGAGGCTTTGTTGCTGGTGGCGATTGGCGACGGGTGATTGTGAGATAGAGCGATAAAAAGCCAGAGGCGACTGGGTCATCATGGGTCCCTTGTGGGGTGTCGAAAGATTGGTCTTTTGGCTCGTGGAGGGGCTGTTGTTACATACGCCTTCATCGTCGAGGTGGGTTTTGGATGCGAGTGGGATCTGAATGGAGAGATGATGATGGTGATTCAGTTCGCGAGGTGGGTTTGGTGCGAGGTTGGCGGTTCCTTGCTGGGGACTCGAGTTCTTCTAGTGGGTGCCGGAATCGGAAGAGAGGCCGGCGCTTTCTTTCCTGATCAAAAGCTCGGATTTCTTCTTATGCATGAATCAATCGAAGGTGGTCAGCGCGCGTGTTGAGAATTTCTTCTGACCCAAGCGAGACCCTCACCCGACACCATTCATAACTCGAAAGTTTCTCTGACCCTTTACTAATCGGGTCTGACCACCATCTCTTATTGATTTTGTATCTTTTCCATCCTATTCTATATTCAATTCAAATGAATTGAATAATTTTTCGTTGCATAAGAATCCATTCAATTCCACTTGATTTTTTTGAATTGTATTGAATGTTGTATTCAATCGACAGGAAAAAAAAGGGGAGATTTGGTTAAAATATGCCGGATTCCGCCAAGTATACAAATGGATTTTAGCAACAACAAAAGCTGCAAAAAAGAATGTAGCAATACTACTAGAAGGGACGGTTTCAATACTGCCCATACGCAAGGGCCGCCCTCGCCGGACTCAGGTGAGGGCCGACACCGGCAGCTTCCCTCTACCATGGCTGGCGGAGGGAAGGGAGAAGAAGAAAAAAGGGAAAAAAATTTAAAAAATAAAAGATGAAAATGTCCTTCAATCAAAGAGTTTTGAGTAAATGTGTCACAGTTGGTAAAGTTTGGGGTTTTTGATGTCACAGAAAAAAATTTGGGATAAATGTGTCACACGGATATAAATTTGAGGTTTTTTGTGTCACAAAAAAAAATTTAAGGTAAATTTGTTACGTTGAACAAAGTTTAGGATTTTTTGTGACATTTTCCCTTTGTTCCCAAAGGCTAAGGTTCCTAAAGCAGTAGATTGGTGCATATAAATAGGGCATTAGAAAGCTTCAGCATGCCAAGCTTCGCTAATAGAAAGAGAGAGAGAGAGAGAGAGAGCTGGCTCGTCCGTCCGTGAGGGAATGAAATATTCTTACTTCTTTGCTTTAACTTTTGGCCCGACTGTTTCAAGTAATATTGGTTTTTGCAATTTTTTACAATAAACAATTTAATTTTGGGACCTCACGTTCCACTTGTTTATAATTTTTCTTGTGCCAATTTGCAATTTTTGAAAGGAAGCAAGCCACACAAAATATCACATGATCTTAAATCGAAGAAAAAAAAGAAAACAAAAAGCAAAGTGAGTTGGGTGGCCACATGTCTACACCTTAGAGGCTCCCTCTCCATGCTCCTACTATATGCAATCTTTCTTATTGATGAGTTACAAATATAGACATCATCCATATTTAATTTTAGTTAGTTTGCATATTGGTATTTCTATAAGTTGAACATCAATAAAAAAATATAGTTGGAGGTAATTTTTTCCAACTTAATGGAGGAAAAAGTGACATCGCTTACGATGAAGAAAATCACCTCAAGCTCCATGCATTTGTAAGAAGAATGTGAGATCTAATTCTAACATTTTAGGGAAAGTTTCATTTTACCCTTCATAAATTCGAAGTTGGCGCATGTCACATCTTAAAAAAAGTTACAACTCCTGTTCGCCTAACCCGAACTTGTATCTTGTTACGCTCATTAACACCGCTAACCTTTTTTCCATTAACAAGTATGGTGCACGTCTTTATGGGATAAATAAGTTACATATCCTATATAATCTAAAATCCTTTGCTAAATGATTCTTAATATGGTGAGTGTCAATTGTCTAATTGGCGATGGATTACTCATATGATGAGATGTTATTTGTTGCATTTGTGCTGCCATAAAAGTATTCAACTTTGTGAATAGAAATTGGGCTCCGGAGGATCAACGAAATTTGCTATGAAATTGACATTATCGGTAAGTCTTAAGATGGGCATTAGAGGTGGCAGTGCAATTTTTAGGCTCCAAAAGTTTAGAATTGGTAAGTCCAGAGTGGTTGTGCTACTAATTTGATACCCACCATGTAGCCTTACATAGTATATTTTACATGATATCTTTTAGAGAGGTAGTAGATTCAAAATATATTAATTAAATAATCATTAACTAATTAATTGTTCATGAAATTATCTTTTACGTCTAGAGTTTCATGTTTAAATTCGTAATAACCATTACTACTCAGCAATCTCTAGCTCCGCTTCAACCCTATCCTCTCTCTCCCTCCCTCCAACAAAGCTCTACCTTCCTCATATTAATATATATGTGCTTTTAGAAGGTGACATTTATTTCTTCACATTTTAATTTCACAATTATAAATATGTTTATCATTTTTATGTTTAAAAAACTAACATTTAAAGTTAAGATTAAACGGGCAAAGGGCAAGAATCAAAAGTTAAAGTCACACCGAACGCTCATTCTATGGCCACTGGCCTTTTAATCTTTGTAAGGCGCAAAAACATGCATCACATTTTGCATCAAAGTCACACCAACACTTATTCTATGGCCACTGGCCTTTTAATCTTTGCAAGGAGCAAAAACATGCATCACATCTCGCATCATCTCGACAGTGAATTACAAATTTATCTTCATGCTAAGTTAAAGGAGCACCTTGTTGGCTTTTTCTAGCATTGTAGAAATCATATTTACAAAATTATGTACATCTCCATTCGGATGCTCTCTTTTCCACACCCATCCACCCCCACCACCCTTTTTCTGCATCCTTTCCTACCGATAGAACCTACTACTCCTTTCGTGCGTGGCCACAGAAAGAGAGAGAGAGAAGGTTGTGTTTGGGGTGCGAAACAACGGCTAGAAGAAAATTGAAAAAAAGAGAGAGGAAAATAGAAAACAAAAAGGGAAGATAAGATGAGGTGTGAATGAGAAGGATGCGTTCATGGGAAGGATGCGTTCAAGTCGGGAAGGGAATGTATGGTGGGCCACACATTACACCTTACAAGTCAAAAGTGATGTCGTGTCTCAATTAGATTTGAATGAAAAATGACCAAATTCACTTAATTCACAGTTACCAAGAAATGCATTGCAACTTGTAATTACACCATACACTGCATCAGTTGGGTGGTTTTTTCAATCATTGTATATCACAAATGAAAAAATCGATCTTTCTATCTCATGAATTGGGGACGCAAATCTATCTCTCTCTTCCTTCCCTCTTTTGCTT